GGGTTTGGAGTACCTGTTGTTCTGGGCTAGAACTCCCAAGTTGTGAGACATGGCTGAAGGTCCATCTTCTGGAGCAATCTGTGGAGTTTCATCAAAACCTGAGGATCGTGCCCAGAGCCCTGCTAGTAGAAAGTGTTATCCAGTGCCCCGTCTAGCAGACTGACAGTGTCAAAGCCCAGCATGGAGAAGATAATGCTGAGAAGGGTCCCTGCTCCGGCACCCTCACTGACACTCCCCGCAGCGCCAAATCAGGCACCATTTCCTGTTCTCAAGTCACACCAAGAGGAAGCTCCAAGCACAGAGGCAGACTCCAGATTGAGCTCAATGTTCTCCCATAAAGACAGACCACATATAGCCCCTGGGGATAAAGCCACCACGCCCCGCACAGCCCGAGGGCTGCTGATAACGAGCAGCCTGTGTCGGAGGCAGACTCCGGTGGTGCCTCAGCGTCGATGCCAAGACCTTCATCATTGCTGAAGAACCTGCCTGCACCAGTTCAGTCCCCAGTACCAAAAGTGCAATAAACACCAGTGCCGCCTCCAGAGGGGATCTGCTGCTCCTTCATCAGAGCATTGTTGCCCCATCTTCCAGCCGAGAGCCCTCTCTTCTGTCATCCGTGTCAACCTCTGGTCCAGCCAGGGTTGTCTTCTCCGTGAATGAGAGACTCGTTGGCCTGGCCAGGGCTTTGTGGCAGATGCCTGCCGCAGTAACGCTCTGTGTGAAGTCTCTGACAGGGTTCAAGTGCGTCTCTACTCACCCCAGCCCAGGCTTCCCCAGTCATGTCAGTGGTACAAGAACAGTCTCAGTTGAGCAAGAGCATCCCTAAGGACAAGGACCCTGAAGGCTCAACCTCTTTTGGAGAAAGTTGTACTCTGCCTCAGCTGAATGCAGCTAATTGCCGGGCTGTACTGGGTCGCCCCCTTCCTCTCGAAGGTCCTGCCCAGCGACAGGGAGCAGCTCAGGGCCGTCATTAAGAAGAGCCAGTTGGTGGCCAAGATGGCCTTACATCGGTGATGGACACCTCTGACACTGCAGCTCGGTCTATGGTCACCGCTGTGACAGTGCACTGAGTGTTGTGGCCCTAGGCATCAGGTACCCCGAGAGAGGAACAGGCCATGACTGAGCCTTGTCCTTTGATGGCATGGAGCGGACAGATGGCGCTCTACACCCATTAAGACTCCAAGACCATCTTGTGCTCCCTGGGGTTTACGCCCCAACCCCATACCGTCCTCAGCCTCCGTCAAGGCAGCGGAGCCATCCTGCCATCCAAGGCAACCCAAGTACCACGCCAATACGACAGAGGGTACCAGCCTTCCTCCTCGGCAATGCACCCCTCCCCGTTGGCAGGCGTTTGGATGTCTGTCTCACACCTAACCCCCAGCACAATCCTCAGGCTGGGGAAGATGGGCGGGGTCACACCTACCTCATCTGCAGGGCCCAATCCAGTCGGTGGACCCAGAGCACGCCTAACTCCACACCCAATGGCCAGAGGAGAAGGACCCCTTTATAAAGTTTAGCCAGTGGTTAGGGCACTCACTAACCCCATCCCAATCCCTTCCCCCCATCAGGCAACAGGGGGAATTGAACTGAGGTCTCCCACATGCCAGGTGAGCGCCTCAACCGCTGGGCTAAGGTTATGAGGGAGGAGCCAGCTTACTTGTGTGGAGTTAAGTGCGAATGGCGCCTGGCTCCAGGATCACAAGCAGCCATAGATGCCAAATTCTGTGAGGGAGGCGGGCTTAGGACTCACCCTCTCATCGTCAGCCTCTCCTGTGGGTTAGCTTAGGCAGCTCGCTGCTCAGTGCGCTGGCTTCTGTGAATCCCACTCTGCGGTGCCTGGCTCCCCCGTGCCTTGCGTAGGGAGCCTGGGCCCCTAGCTCAGGCTCTCTGGATTGATTGCAGTGATTTTCTGGGTGCTGAAAAGTGAGGCGTTGCAATGCTCAAGTCCCTTTGCGGATCCGTGCAGAAGCCCTCATGGCCAGGCTGCCTTACGCATCTTTCCATATGGACCTGATGATGCTCAGCATCCCCCCGTCATCCCCAAGGCAGCTTCGGAATTCCACCTACCCGTCAATTGCCTTGTCAGTGTCCTTCCCAAACCCCACTTGACCCTGAGGGAAGAGAAGCCATATACCTTGGCTGTGGACAGAGCTTTTCTCTGCTATCTTAACAGGACTTAACACCCATCAGCCGCCAGGCCTCTCTGTACTTATCCCCAGCCCATCGAAAGGCCATGCCATCTTGCCATAGAGAATCTCTAAATGGATCCCATTGTGCATTTCCATCTACTGGCGGATGGCTGGTGAGCCTCTCCCTCCATACGTCACCACACACTCCACCAAGGCACAGGTACTGTCTTTTGCCTGCTCCAGGAACATGCCTTCTCTGAGATCGGCAAGGCTGGAACATGGAGCAACCCACTGACTTTTGCTAAACATTACGTCCTTGACATGGCAGCCAGGGCAGATCACGAGTTTGGAAGAACCATTCTTTGACAGGGTCACTGGCCTAGTGGATGGGGGGTGGGTAGGGGAGGGGGAGAGCAGTAGATGTGATATATCTTGATCTTAGTATGACTCGTTCTGACACAATCCCACGTGGTGATCTCATAAGCAAACTAGGAAAATGTGGTCTACATGAAATTACTGTAAGGCAGGTGCACAACTGGTTGAAAAACAGTACTCAGATGTTTTCAATGGTTCGCTGTCCAACTGGGAGAGCTTATCTAGTGGGGACCTGAAGGTGTCTGTCTTCTTCTGGTACTAGTAAAATTTTTCATTAATGACTTGTATGATGGGTTCATTCACAGAGACCCCCTTGGGACTGTCACCTGATGTGCTGAGACTACCTCTGAGCCTGTTTTCTCTGCCAGTTTGGGCCTCCAGAACCCTGTCTTGTTGAGCCAGATATGCTAATCTGCTGCAACACAGACCCAGGGTCTGACCCATGCCTCCAAAGCTGCAGACTTAACTGAAAACGGCTTAGCAAGTGCTCCTGTCTCTAGCACCCAGACACCCAGCTCCCAATGGGATCCAAACCCCAAATAAATCCGTTTTACTCTGTATAAAGCTTATACAGGGTAAAGTCATAAATTGTCCACCCTCTATAACACTGATAGATATGCACAGCTGTTTGCTCCCCCAGGTATTAATTACTTACTCTGAGTTAATAAGCAAACGTGATTTTATTAAATATAAAAAGTAGGTTTTAAGTGGTTCCAAGTAATAACAGACAGAACAAAGTAAGTTACCAAGCAAAATAAACCAAAATATGCAAGTCTAAGCCTAATACATTAAGAAACTGATTACAGATGAAATCTCACCCCCAGAGATGTTCCAATAAGCTTCTTTCACAGACTGGACTCCTTCCTAGGCTGGGTCCAGCAATCACTCATACCCCCATAGTTACTGTCCTTTGTTCCAGTTTCTTTCAGGCATCTCTTGGGGGTGGAGAGGCCATCTCTTGAGCCAGCTGAAGACAAAATGGAGAGGCTTCCAGGGCCTTTTATATTCTCTCTCTTGTGGGCGGAAACCCCTGGAGTTTGTAGCCACTTGGGCAAGTCACGTGTCCATGAATGATTCAGCTTTTTGCAGGCCAACGCCATTGTTTGCATGTTAGTTTGAACGTTCCCAGGAAAGCTCAGATATGGATTGGCGTCTCCCAAAGTCCATTGTCAGTTAAGTGTTTCTTGACTGGGCACTTACTGAGAATAGTCCTTTCTCAAGAAGCTGACCAAATGCTTCACTGAGGTTACTTAGAATCAGACACATTGAGATACAAGTACATAGCCAATATTCGTAACTTCAGATATAAAAATGATACACACAAACAGCATAATCATAACCAGCAAACTATAACCTTTCCATAGACACCCCACTTGACCTCCTCTGTACAAGACCTGGTGCAACCATAGGACCCTGGTTGCAGCAATGATTTATACGGTCATAGTTCATGTCAATAACGTCACAACTTGGATAATGGAGTGGAGAGTATGCTTATAAAATTTGCAGGTGACACCAAGCTGGGAGGGGTTGCAAGTACTTTGGAGTACAGGATTAGACTTCACAATGACCATGATCAATTGGTCTGAAATCAAAAAGATGAAATTCAGTAAAGATAAGTGCAAAGTACTTCACCTAGGAAGAAAAAATCACATGCACAGATACAAAATGAGGAATAACTGGCTCAGCAGTAATACTTCAGAAATGGATCTGGGGTTATAATGGATCATAAATTGAATATTGGACAACATGATGCAGTTGCAAAAAAGGCTAATATCATTCTGGGGTGTATTAACAGGAGGTATGTAAGACATGGGAGGTGTTCTACTCAGCACTAGTGAGGCCTCAGATGCAGTACTGTGTCCAGTTTTGGGAAACGCACTTTAAGAATGATGTGGACAAATTGGAGAGAGTCTAGAGGAGAGCAAAACAAACAAACAAACAAAAAGGTTTAGAAAAACCTGCCCTATGTGGAAGGGTTAAAAGAACTGGCCATGTTTAGTCTTGAGAAAAGAGTAAGACAGTCTTCAGATATGTTCAGGGCTGTGATAGAGGGGTGTGATCAATTGTTCTCCATGTCCACAGAAGATAGGACCAGAAGTAATCAGCACTGTAAGGGTAGCTAAGTGCTGGAACAGGCTTCCACGGGAGGCTGTGGAATGCTCACATTGGGGGTCTTTAAGAACTGGTTGGACAAACACCTGCCAGGGATGGTCTGGGTTTTACTTGGTCCTGCCTCAGTATGGCTTTGAACCGTGAGGGTACTGCGGGAGGCTCGCAGTGGCATGTGCTTTGGGCCCTTGTATTGGAGCATGAGCAGGAAGGGGGAACAAGCGAAGGCCCAACAGACACTGTTATTCCAAACACTCCGGTCTCGTGCATGGGGCACTTGTGTACTTACAGTGGGATCCACAGCATCTCAAAGAGCCAGCATCACTGGAGTTCTTTACCCGCCTTTCCCGTGTGAGTTTTGACCACTCCCCTCTTCTCTCCACTTAGGACGAAGTCCGTTTCCTCGATGTCTGAGTTCGAAAGCTTGCTCGACTGTTCTCCCTACCTTCCAGGCAAGACCAGCCCTGTGATCCCTGACCACGCACGAGGCAAGGTGTCCCCAGCCACACAGCTACTGCCTAATGGCATAACAGACCCTGCAGGAGTCCACCCTAAGAACTGTACATATGTGACTACAGAGCAACCTGCCCCTGAGAGCCTGGCAAAAGAGAAGCCGGTCATTTCCTCATGGGATTATTCCCGGGCAAACAACCTCTCTGGGCAGGATCCAGCCCAGAAGCAAATGCAGAGGAGCTACACGGCACCAGACAAGACTGGGATCCGCATCTATTACAGCCCTCCGGTGGTGCGAAGACTGGAGGCGCCGCTAATCCACAACAAGGAGGGGAAGATCATGACTGAGCCGGGCTTCCTGTTCACAATGGCCAAGCCGACAGAGCTGGAGGAATCCGACCGCTCGGAGAACACGTACAGCAGGTGGCTGTGCAACTTCTCCAAGCAGCACCGCGAGCTGCTGGACAGCCGCAGTGCTGACAAGGCTGGGCCCTCCGGCCCCAGGTTCCCAGCCTCCCTGCACGATTTTGAGATTTCCGGCAACATGAGCGACGACATGAAAGAGATCACCAACTGCGTGCGGCAGGCCATCCGCTCCAGCTCGCTGGAGAGGAAGGTGAAGAGCACCTCCAGTCAGACCACGGGTCTGACAACCGTCGGCACCCAGACCATTCAGATGGTGAGTGTCGGCCTGCAGACAGACACGCCCCGGGGAAACCTCCACAGCAAGAGCTGGTCCCCACGCAGCTCCTCCCTCATGTCTGTGCGTAGCAAACAGATTTCTTCGTCTCTGGACAAAGTCCACTCCAGGATCGAACGGCCCTGTTGTTCTCCCAAGTATGGCTCCCCAAAGCTCCAGAGACGGTCTTCCTCCAAGCTCGACAATTCGAAGGACAGAAGCCTGTGGAACCTTCATCAGAGTAAGCAAAATGGGTCGGCCTGGGCTAGGTCGACCACAACCAGAGACAGCCCGGTCCTCAGTAACATCAACGATGGCCTGTCCAGCTTGTTCAATGTTGTGGAGCATTCTGGGAGTACAGAGTCCATCTGGAAACCAGGCTGTCCAGAGAGCAAAGCCAAGCCAGAAGCCCCGAAATATGGCATCGTGCAAGAGTTCTTCAGGAACGTGTGCGGGAGGGCTCAGAGCCCCACTTCTGCCCTGGAGAAGAAAGAATCACCGGGAGATGATGGCACCAAAAAGCAGGATCACTCCCAGCCAGCCACCTGCCATCCATCTGAAAATGTCTCCCGGAGCTTAAACAAGAAACTCCCGAAGCAAAGCAGCAGCGAGGAGCCCAAGGCGTCTTCCCCAAACCAGGGGAGCAAAGATGGGGCCCCAAGGGACCTGGACATCACATCTGTGATAGCCAATGAGGTAAGAACATAAGAACGGCCAGACTGGGTCAGACCAATGGTCCATCTAGCCCATTATCCTGTCTCTGCCAGTGGCCAGTGCCAGATGCTTCAGAGGGAATGAACAGAACAGTTTATTAAGTGATCCATCCCCTGTCATTCAGGCCCAGCTTCTGGCAGTCGGAGGTTTAGGGACACCCAGAGCATGGGGTTGCATCCTTGCCCATCCTGGCTAATAGCCATTGATGGACATAGCTTCCATGAACTTGTCTCATTCTTTTTTGAGCCCAGTTATACTTTTGGTCTTCCCAGCATCCCCTGGCAGCTTTGTTTTTACCCTAGCGAATAACACAGACTTCAGGGCAGAGCTGGCTGACAAAACAAACGTGTTTAGCTTCTGCGCCCACCAGAGGAGGTAGCTTCCTCCCCAGCCTGAAGTGTAGTGCAGCCCCTCTCCACCCCGGGGGCTGGAGGGGTGAGAAGAGCAGACCTGTTCCTGCAGCAGTTGGTGGGTTGGCTGTAGCACTGTCTGCATCTGCCAGCCAGACACACTCAGGCAGCAGCAGCCCAGGCTTGTGCTGCAGCCTGGAGGGGCCCCGCTGGCTCAGCCCGTGGCTTCTCCCATGCAAAGACTGCTCCCCACATGGGGGCTGGGTACACGCCCTCATTCACGGAGCTGGGTAGAGACACTGGCGGCCTGGGGGACCTCAGCCTGCACCCGCGTCAGGGCTTCACACTCTAAAGCGCTGGCTCTCGGGGCAGGCACTCTGCCTCTGGGCTCACCCAGTGCCAGCCCCAGGGGGCCCTGGTCCCAGCTGGGTGTTGCTGCAGTACAGTACGGTTGATAAGAGCAGTCCCCTCTGCTAGCACTGCACCTAGCCCAAGGAGATCTGCCCTCGAGTGGGTACCAGACTGGTCCCAGCTGCGTCTCCCCTGAGCCCTCCACACCTCTAATCCCCCCTCCTCTTTCTCTTTGCAGGACACAGCATGCGACTGCAGCTCCCAGTCCCTCACCTCCTGCTTCGCCCGGCCCTCCCGCTCAGCTGTCCGGCACTCCCCTTCCAAGTGCAAGCTGCATCCCTCTGACCCCAGCCGGGCGGAGGAGAAGGCAGGGCCTCTGAGTGAGTGAGTGAGGGCAGCGGGGACTGGGCTAAGCCGTGTCTGCTTTCTGCGGCCCTGACGAAAGAGCACGCTTCCCGCCTGCGCCAGCTCCGCCGCAGCCTGCGGGACCCACCCGCCCGCCCCGAGAGAGCTGTGCTGGGGTCCCAGTGGGCCCCTCGCTCTCGCAGAGACACAGGCGCATGCACATCTGTCTCCTAACTGTTCCCCAGCTGATGGGGGCGCTTAAGAAGCAGATGCTGCAGGATAGTCGGGAACGGAGGCTTCCAGCGTTATGCCTGGACCCGGTTCCAGGGACGGAGGGGAAGTTACTCTGGGCGGGTGTCTCCTGACCCCCAGGAAGTAGCCTGCCAGCCTCACTGCTCCTGCAAGGGAAGGATGATTCCAGGAGAGAGGAGGGCGTCCCCAGAGCCTGGGGTGGGGAGCTCTGTGCAATTTCCATAGACCTGCACTTCAGGGAGACCGACTGTTCCCATGCAGCTGGCGGAGGGTGGGGGGGGAATGAAGAGATGGGCCCTGCTTGCCCTGGGATGTGGGAACTGGGAACCACCGCCCTGCAGCAGCCTCTGGAAAGCCGGCAAAGCTAAGGCCCCGAGCCTGGGACTCCTTGGGGCCGTGCTGCTGACAAGCGCCCTGGAGAGGAATCAGCAGCCGGAGTGTGGAGAGCAGCTGGGTCAGCGCTCAGAGGAAATGCCCCGGGCATGCTGTCACTGCACTTCACAGACAGGGCTGGGGGCCGGGGAGGGGGGCGCCCGGGGGGGCCGTGCTGTATAAAGCTGATTGATGTGTGTGAGGCTCTTCACTGTGTTGTCTCCCTTGTCATGTTGTCTTCGAGTGGCACTGGCACGCCCCTTCACTGACACGGCCTCCCCTCCCCCGCGCCTTGGGGCTTTGTGCAAACCCAGCCCAGGGTGGATTGCCCTGCTGTTGCATCAGCTGCTGCTGTGGTGCTCGGCTCGCCTCCTGTGCTGGAAGGATGCCGAGGGGAGGATCACGGGGGCAGGCACAGGGCACGTTCAGGCCCTTCTCCTCACCCAAACAATGTTTAATTCCCCACCCCAGCAGACTGGCCAGTGCAGGAGGCTGAAGCAAGCTGCCCCCCTGGAATGCTTGCCAAGCACCGAGCTAGCGCGCTGGCCGAGTGGCTGCAGCGGCTCCCTTTGTCTCTGGCTCGCCTAGTGGGATCCTGGCTCAGAAGCTGAGCAACCGCCTGGCCTCTGAAAGCCTGATCTCAGGCAGCACAGCCAAAGGCAGATGGGAACAGGAGCAAATGCAATGGGGGGCGGGTAGACTGCAGTCGAGAGGGGACCTAGCAGCCTCGCAGAGCATAGGCCAGTGGGAAGTACAGTGCGTGTTTTCCCTTCTCCGGGGGGGGTGTGTGTGTGTGTGTGTGTGTGTGTGTGTGTGTGTGTTCTCTCTTCCCCTCCCCTCTGGAGCATTGGGCCGAGAGCACTGAAACCCTGGGGACAAGATGAGCCAGGCCTGTGTTCCCCCGCAGCTGGCTCTGAGCAAGGTTCTAGTTACAGTGAGTCTGACAGCGGCTCAAGCCAAGGTGGCAGCATTTCCCTAGGTTGTGTCCCACCCAGTGTCTGACAGGTCTGGTTGGACGCGGAGGGTCATCTGGATCTCCTGGTTCTCACTATTTAAGGTATTTGTGCCTGGTTTACGATGTAATTCGCAGAGGTCCCCGCAGGGTCATTTGTTTGTGTGTTTGGCCTGATAGCCTGGAGCTTGCTGTGGTTGTGTCTGCATGCCCCAGTTGTGGGAGATCGAATGGGGTGGTGTTGGTTGGAGAGGTAGGGGTGTGTGTGTGTGTGTCCCGGAGGAGGAGGCAGAGGGCAGTGGGGCCACAGCTGGAATTCAATCTGACGTTCCCCAACCGTTACCGGATGCCTGGCTCTGACTCAGTGGCCAAACCGCTCTAGGACCCCTGCTTCTGCCCAGCAGCTCACACTGGCCCCTCAAGGACCCCTGCGCTCACTTCTTCCCAGCCCTTTCTGCTCCCTTCCTCGGTGTAGGTGCTGTATTCTGGCTCGTGTCCACCGTAGGGGGATGGGGTTTTCTCCGCACATGCACTGGTGCCTCTAGGCCCAAGCATTTGTGCCTTAGCACGGGTTAGCCACCACAGTAACAAGAGTGGTACAAGTACATGGGCATGGGTAATCCCTGGTGTAGAGAGTCAGGGCCGCCTTTGTCCCAGTGTGGTTCTCACCCGAGGCTTAGCGCCCAACTTGCTATGGTTGCCCAGCACTGAAAGTTCCAGGACGTAGTGAGCTGTGACAGGGAACAGACTCCATCCTATCACCGATACCACTGAGCTATTTGCCCTTCGATTGGGCCCTGTGCACTAGAGGAAGGGGGGCATTTGGACTTGGTATTAAAGCTGCAGAAACAGCCTCTGAACTCCTATTCCAGGCAGCTTTATGTGACACCAGGCTGGCCTGGTGATGGCGTGGATAGCTCTCAGACCAAGCCCTGTTAATGAGCTCTAATTAAATCTCCCTGAACCTCTGGGGGTCGTAGCAGCAGGTGCTGGGCCAGGCCCAGGCTCACTTAGCATCAAAGGCAAGGTTGCTGCGGCTTTCACCAGCTTTGCAGCAGGTTCTGGTGAGGAAGGAAGATTCAGCAGAGCAGAATCTGCCAGGCTGGGCAGTGCAGCGTGTGCTAGCAATGCAGGCCACACCTCGCTGGCAAAACCCAGAGCAGACTGCAGCTGCCTGGGGAGCCTGCAGCTCCCAGCATGCCCTGCTCCAGCTGGAGCTGAGCAGGGACTCTGGTGGTCTTGGGCTCCCCTGTTGTACTAAAGGCTAGGGCAGCTTGGGGTCACAGTGCATAGACCTGCATGGCAGCTCTCTGCCTCCCTCTGCTAAAGCTTCCCAGCCAGTAACATTTGACTCCCACTTTGCCCAGGGCTGAGTGAAGGGCCCGGGGATCAGAGCATGTTCCCTGAGCCCCCTTCAGACACAGCGTTTATTGTACCCTTCTGTGTCTTCTTCCTTGGGCTGTGCTGAGCGGCTGCTCCGCCCATGGAGGCAGGGTAGCTCTACATGGCCTGGCCATTCCCCTGCTCTCTGCTGCCAGGCGCCTGTCAGCGGGGAGGGTGATTAACTGCTGGAGCAATCACCAGGGCTGGAGGGGATTTGCTATCTCTGGCCATTTGTAAACTGAGGGGATTGTTTTTTTTCAAGATCTCTAGTTCTAACAGGAATTAATGCAGGGAAGAGCTCGGGCCTGTGGTAGGCAGGAGGCCAGTCTAGGTGGTCACAACAGTCCCCTCAGGCCTTAGAATCTTAAACATCCCAGCACCTCCAGAGAAACGCTTGGTCAGTGCAGGAGGCTGCAGCACTGCCATTGAGTGAGTGAGGCAAAGCAATTGAAGGTCTGTAACCCACCTTCTCGTGCTGCATTTAATACTGCAGTTAAATCCATCCCGAGGCCTCTACGCCCTGGTCTGCACGACAGAGACAGCTCACTGCGACCTAACTCTGTAAGCATCTACACCCGAATATAGCTCCCACCAATGTAACTCGCCCGCTATGCTGACAATAACTCCACTTCCGCGAGAGGTAGAGCACTTAGGTCGATGTAGACACTGCGTTGCTGAGATCCACCATCGCTGCCTTTCAGAAGCCTTCCCACAATGCCCTACGCTGACAGTTAAATTGGTGCAAGCACTCCTGGTGAGGACACGCAGTGGCACCACAAGGAGCACAGTGTGGACGTGCAAAGGCAGTTTTAATTACTGCGGTGGCTGGACATCGCAACTTCGACTGTGTCTGCACTGCACTGATGGAGCTGCGCCGCTGTAGCGCTTCTGGTGAAGATGCTCTAAGGTGACAGGAGCGAGCTCTCCCAGCGGCTTAACTCCTGCCTCCGCGAGCAGCGGTAGCTGTGTCGGCGGGAGGAGCTCTCCTGCCAACGTAGTGCTGTCCACACCAGCGCTCAGGTCAGTGTAACTTACATCACTGGGGGTGTGGATTATTCACACTGCTGAGTGACGTTTATACTGAAGTAATTTGTAGTGTAGACACCTAACGGTCAACTTAATTTTGTAGTGTAGCCTTGGCCTATCTCGTCTCTCTTGTTGCTGCAGTGTGTGTCCGGGGTGCGTTAGAGCAGAGAACGCTCAATGAGACAGGGCGGGCTGTCCCTCGGGTGCTCTGGGACAGGTGACCTGCCACAGCAAAGCTCAGGGTCAGCTTGATCCAGGTGCTTGGAACCCACTTCCCCAATTCAGGGGGTGGGTGAGGGTGTTTACAGCCAGCACAAACTGCCTGGCCCCTTCTTCCCAGGGCTGTTAGTTACACTTCAGCAAGCCCCACGCTGTGGTCTGCTCAGCTCTCCTAGCAGTTAGACAGGCTGATTTAGAATTCCCCCCCAGGGGGCTCCTCTGATATTCAGACTGGGCTGTACAAACCAGCAGCGTGGAGCGGGCTGGCCCTGTCCCCCAACACCACCCTGGCACCGCGGGGGGAGGGAGTCCAGTTAATGGCTGTGGGAGCATACCCTTCTTCTGCCTTTCAGCACTTGCTGGTTCTGACTGGCAATGACAACCGCTGGAGGGGGGAGACTCTTTTCCTGCCTGTGTTTCCAGCCCTCCCCAAGCCCAGCTGTGCTGGAAGTGGTGTGAGAAAAGCTGACTTCATCAGAGATGGATTCCAGCTGCTCCTCTACGCTGGTCCCCGGGCCTTGGCAGGGTCCCCCCACCCCTCGCTGTGCATCAGCATCAGCCTCCACTGCAGCCCTGTGCTTGCTGTAAACTCTGTTTCTGGCCCATTTTATCATCATGGCTCCTGGTGCATTTTGATTGACTTCCCTCCCCAGGGTCTCTTGAGAACATTGCAAGGGGGGAGAGAGAGAGAGAGAGAGTGTGTGTGTGTGTGTGTGTGTGTGTGTACAGACACACACACGCGCAGAGTGGGGAGTTTTAATTAATTCAGCCTGCAACTGGGAAATAATTTCTTCAACCACCGCCCTGCCCAGTACTTGTACTGGGGAGCCGTATGTGACAGCATTTTGCTTCAATATTTAAAAACACAATACAGGCCCCAGAGTTACCCCTAAGCCCTGTTGTATTCCTGAGCAGATATGGGGTGTCCAGGGAGCCCTGGCCCTGTCGCTAACAGCACCTGCTGAATCCATTACTCGGTTTCACAGACTCAGCTGGGACGCTCCTTGGGGGGCTGTTTTAGTTATTTGCTCATTACAAGTGTCTTACAAACGTCCCTTCCTTTTGGTTTGACCTGTTCTGATGCGCTGCAGGCCCGGGCGGAGCACAAGGCAGGGTCAGTTTAAATCAGCACGAACTTTAGAGCTGAAGGAATTTTTAAAAATAATGAAATTAGCTAAATTGGAAGGATAGCAGATGAGTTAAAAATACCAATTGGATTATGGGCTTGCAGGTCGTGCAATCCTGCCCACGAACAGAACTGCTGTTTGACTGGGAATGGAGTCTCAGGGGGGAGGGGAGGAAGTGCAAACAAGCCACCCCGTTAATAAAGAGCCAGTGTTTATCAGCTTGGAGCCCTGGAAGGCATCAGCACTTTATTGTGAAGCCCTGGTGCCCAATGCCAGCAGATTTCTAAAGCTAAAAATAAATGCCCATTGCATTAGGTGCTAATGAAGTCCAATTACCGGCCTGCTGCTCTTTGCACTGCTTTGGGAGAGAGTACAAACATCTTCCCCGTAGAGGATTATGACAGTGAGTGTGGAGAG